GAAGTATTCAGAAAGTTAAGGGCCATGATGAACATAGACAATTTAGACACAATGAATTAGGTGGTGTGTTAAATTGTAATTCATATGTGTCAAAGAAGATTTGATTTGTTTTAGATTTAAATAGATTTGATTTAAGTCTAGAATAGATTTGATTAGATTTGATTTAGTAACAAAAAGATATTTTTGGGCCTTGGGCTTAGGGTGTAAGCTCAGTTACAAATAGAGGGAGTAACCCCCTATTTTGAAAAAAAGTCAAGCAAGACAATTCATTGTAATCACAGAATTTGCAGTTGCAAGTGATTAAGGAAGTTTTCCACAGTTTGTGGGCAGAGAGAAACTCTGCAGAAATATTTATCTTGTCTTCTTTTATTTGTTTTTATCATAACTAATCATCATAGTTGGTCGAAATTCATCATTGTATTAGGTGGATTTCCAACACATGGAACTTATGGTTCCCCTTTCTGCTGAACAATCTTCCTAATGTCCTCCTTTTGCACAGTAATCTGACAGATAACCTTGTTTGGAATCATAATGTGTCTAGTGATTTAACCCTCGTGGATGCTTATAATTTCAAAGAAGGGAGCCTAATTGATCCTTATTGGGCCAATCTCATATGAATTAGTGACATTCCTCCTAGTAAGTCCATCTTTGTTTGGCGTCTTTTGCACGATAAGATTCTGACGGAGTCAATGCTTATGACCAGAGGCATTTCTTTAGCTTTAATTTGTCGCCTTTTCAATTCTATAATTGAGACGGTTTCACATATGTTTTTCCACTGTAACATTGCTAGAACTTTATGGAAGTGGCTTAGCGAAAATGTGGGTATCTCCTCTTCCCATATCTCTTTTGACGACTGGATCAAGGTTTACATTAGAGCTAAGTCCAACCAAGTTGTTTCGTAAAGCCGTTATTATCTACACCCTTAACCAAATTTTGTACTCCAAGAATAGTTGTAAGCATGAAAAAAACAAACATAACTGCACAGTTTCCTTCGCTCGTATCATGAATCAAACAAGGATAGTTGGTACCAATGCTATTAATCACCCTTCCATCTTTGTTTATGATTTTTTTTATTAAGGGTTTCGATTTTATCATTCGTCCCCCTCGGGATCCCAACATCAAAGAGGTAATTTGGTCGCCTCCTTCTAACGGTTGGTACAAATGCAATTGTGATGGGGCTTATAATTCTGCGGCTTATGGTCGTGGATGTGGCGGCATCTTTAAAAACACATGTGGAGGCTTTACGCTTGCCTTTGCAGAAAATCTCTCTTTTGGTTCCTCTTTGTATGTTTAATTCTCTACAGTGTTGAAAGCTATTGATATTGCAAAAAATTAGGATTGGCTCAAGCTTTTGATTGAATCAGATTACATCATGGTGGTCAAAGCTTTCTCCAAACCTAGTTTGATTCCTTGTGCTTTAAGAAACAAATGGATTGATAATACTCACCACTCTAACATCACTAACTTACACGCACACGCACACGCACGCCGCACGCGCGCGCACAGGAAAGATAACACTTGCACAAACTTTTTTTTGTTAATATAGGTCTTAGTGTAAATTCAACTTTGTTTTTTTACTCAATCTCTAATAAAATTAGAGATGATTTTATAAAAAATATGTTAGATATATATTTTTTTTAGATTTTCTTTTTTTAATGGGGCTAATTTATTTTCCTTTTTAGCTATAACACCTTTCCTTTTATTAATATATCAGCTTTATTAATAAAAAAATAGATGCGAGGTTTTAACAAATTTTTCACATTCATTATTGAATGTTTGGAGAATAGTCTAACATATCATAAATTTATCATCTTATAATATCTTAATATTTGAAATGTGACTTAATTTAATTTTAAAATTGATTTGAAAAGTGTGAATTATCTCCATTTGTAAGTTATATATTTATTCAATGTGAAACTCTTAATATAGTGGAAACAAATCTTTGTCTAGATTTTGTGTTTTTTAACTTTGCCCTGTCTCTTGGTGGATTAAAGGAATGCATGGAGAGACACTAAATCAGTTGACTCCAAATAAAGCATTGCCTTTTGACATTTAGCAATGCTCCAATATTAACATTTTCTTTTTTGATGAATACAAGGGCTATCTCACAGCCAGTGAATTGAAAGTGCCCATTGACATTTTTACAAACCAATCTTTAAATTGAACAAATTAACAATTTGCAACTGGCTATGTCTTAAGTGAACCACGTGTGACACATACAATTTCTCGTACCCTACATTTTGTTATGTCTATAAAACTTTATACATTAGTATTCCTTTGGTTGCATTAGAAAAATAAAAAATTAGAGTGGAGAACACACTTGTTTGAATTGGAGTGATGACACATGTGTAAACCATGTTTCTATGTATCTACTTGTTGAATCAATTTAAATAGTTTGCAAACTTCTAGGTTTGCTTCCATTTTTTAATATCATTTTAGGATGAGATTTACTTTAATTAGTTGATTCCACTAAGATTCTCTTTGTCTTAATCATAAGCATGGAGGTAAAGTGAGAAGAAAACAATTATAGCATGGTTATTGCTGGCCAAATTTAGAATAATAATCAAATATTAACCTAAGCAACAAATCTTGGTGTTTGCAAGTGTGCTTTGATCAAGTAGAGGTAGGAAGGGGTGTTCATTGGATAACTTTGACCATTCACACAATGTTCATATAATATTTATTGAAAATAATTAAGTAATTATAAAAATAATTCAAATTCAAATTGAAACTATCCGTCCAAAGGTGAAAGTAGGTAATATCTGATTTTCTAAGACTTAAGTTGACTATTTTTTTTTTTTGGAAAAGTTAAACAATAACTTTTTTTAGTATAAGAAGTGAAAAAAAAGACTATTACGTAAGAGTATATATATATATATATATATATATATATATATATATATATATATATATATATATATATATATATATATATATATATATATATATATATATATATATATATATATATATATATATATATATATATATATATATATATATATATATATATATATATATATATATATATATATATATATATATATATATATATATATATATATATATATATATATATATATATATATATATATATATATATATATATATATATATATATATATATATATATATATATATATATATATATATATATATATATATATATATATATATATATATATATATATATATATATATATATATATATTGGGAATGGTTCTTCAATCATTGGAATCGTCTTAAGATCTTCTCTAATTCATCTGCTCAAATTGAAAGCTATTTTTGTGTGGAAGATTTTCAAACGCGCCAAATACCTGAAATCACATTATACAATGGATTGGTTCGCTGATTTTCAGTTGCTTAAAACTTCGTAAATTTTGACCGGAAAATCATCTTTGAGTGGTTCTTGGTACATTTGAATCGGCTTGTTATCTTCTTTAATTTCCGTGTTCGACTTGGAAGCGGATTTATTGGGGAGAATCTTCGAATATGTGAATATTTTGAAGATATACAGTAAAAATATAGTGTAAAAATATAGTGAAAAATAGTGTGTTGAACCATTATTTATTAGATGTTCAAAAATTCATAACTTGTTCCCGTTTCGACATTTTTGAATGGTTCTCTGGGCGTAAAATTCTTCTTGAGTCTTTAATTCCTATGTTCAGGTCAGAAGTTAATTCTTTGAAGAAGATCTCCGAAAGTGCGAGTTACCAGAGAAAATTGAACCATGAAATGGTTTTCTACCAGACTGTTTATCGATATTGAAAGATTCGTAACTTTCTCATTTTTTATCGGTTCCAGACGATTCTCAAAGAGTGAGACCATAAGTTTTTTTAGCTGCAACTTTGCTTCAGGTTCCAAGTTCGGATTGCACTTCAAAGGCTTCGGTTGTAATATCCCAAATTTCTCCTACCCTTTCATTTTTGTTATCTGGCTTATGCGTCTCTTAATCATCATGTATATACCTCTCATTAGGTCGTCTAACACATCATGTATCATTAATCAATCAAATTGGCATTGGGATCAGGGTTTCACTTGTGCACTAGGGTTTCTCTATCTTTTGCAGGGTTATCTCACTTAAAGGTTTAAGGGTCATGGGCTAGGGTTTGTCCCTTATACTTAAGGTCATCAAATGAACTCAAGGAATTGAAATCCATCTTCTTATACATGTCATCTCCACGTGATTTAGGATTCCTTAATCATGTATACATCAAGGAAAGCTTTTCATACGAATCTATTTATTAAGAAACATCATAATCTCAAGGGCTTCCATCATGGTTAAAGTGCAATTCATCTAATATGTTGTGATGTTGTCATGGCAAACTAGGGGTGGGTCCCATGATTATCCCGAGTAGCATTCTCTCGAAACTTCAAGTATGACTCTCATCCAAGGCATTCTCCTAACCTCTTGGTTTACACAGTTCATTATTATATGGTTTGCTTCTCAAGGATTCAAGGGTATGAAGGAGTGCATCTTCTTTGGGGCTTATGAATCAATATGTTCATATGCGGTGTTTATCAATTGAGATGAGGTTTTAACAAGATTTGAGCAAGGAACAATATTTGTTTTTTGAATTCAATTCATCATGAGATGTCAAGATGGCATCAAGCTTGATTCAAGGCATCCATATAGAAACAAGGGAATTCATGAGTGTTACATGACTATCCTAGTTCATTCAAACTCCTTCATGGTCCAAGTTGTAACATAAGGCTTAAAACAAATTCCAAAGTCAATCTTAAGCTTGATATGGTTTTCATACCGTTGTTCGTTCTAGTTTGCAAAGTGGAGATAAAGCTTGAAATTTCAAATAGTGCAAATGGAGGGAAATGGAAAAATACTTCATTACTTGAGTTGGAATCTATACAAAAATTAATCCCATATTACATCATCATGCCATCAATACAATGTCAAAATCATGAAGGAAACAAATTCCATTAGAAAGAGGAATTTGCTTTGGATTTAACCATTGAAGTTGCAAGATTACAAAGTCATGTTTCTAAGGACCATTACATCCAAGTATCCAATACATTACATCAAAAGAAAAGACTACAAAAATCCTAGACTTATATTCCAAATTGCTCCGCATTTCAACCAACTTCAAACAACCGTTTTGCCCCATCACAACTTCGCTTTCTTTTGACCATTCCTCATGACCATGGTAAAACATAAAACTTGTAAGCCTTGACGTTATATTTCCAAACCTGCAACATCAATTTACAAATTCCTAAGTCCAATTACAGACCATATATACCCTTAATAATTGACACTAACAGAAAATCAACAAAGCATAAAATGAGATATTAACGGTTGAACTCAAATCTAGCTTAGTAATTAACCTCAACTAAATCACTAACAGTTTCCATCATTCTAACTAACTACTAACTAAATTTTAAACCAACTCAAACTAACTTTCTAACAACTCCTAACCGACTAACAACTAGTTCATGTAACAAAATTCTCATAACTAACCTCATAACATATTTTTCAAATGAATCTTCACCCTCCATTTTGTAACAAACTTCTTAATCCAAGAGTTGAGAGTGTTTCATCAATAACAAACTTTCTGCACCTATATAGCATCTTCCCTCTAAATCTATTACGCACACGATTCATTTTCACAAAATCATAGAAATATTCCTAGAAACTCCCTTCAATTTTTTCTCTGCAAAACTTTACACCGCATCCATCTTCATCATCATTTCTTCACTTTAACCGAATCTTCATCACCACTACAACTTTTCTTCAATCTTCTGCTTCATCTCTCTACTGCAACAGCGTCAAAAACTTCACATGATTTATCATTTTCATTGTTCTCTGCACATATAGTAATCGCAATGCAGCACAACATCAATGATCAAATCATCAAATCACACAACAACAACACGTAACAGCAACGACGGACACGCGCAAGAACAACAGTACATAAATACAAAAGAAGGAGAAGATTAGAATCAAAAGTTCCGTCGTAATCGTACATGGTTGGATTCTCCTCTCTGGAATTCTTTAGTTGTAGCTTAGTGTCGTTACACCTCTTCACCGGAGTACTCCTCGACTCTGTAGGTTGGTGTTTTCTTCGCCATTTTAGAATTCTTTTGATATCATATCGTATTATAGAGGTTGTTGAATAATAATCCCAATGATCTGAGCCTTGAAACCTCTCCATGTATTTTTAATTTCACCTTGGATAGGTTAGGTTTTTCCTATTATGGTTGAGATTTAGGGTGAAGAAGAGAATATGTGATCAGAAGGGAGAGTAGAATGCGTTCCATGGTGGAAGTTGTTAGAACAAAGTTTGAATCTACTACCCTATGTTTAAGTTTTGATGATAACAAAATGAAAAGATATATTATTTATATGATTCATGTATGAACTATTTGCTACCTAAAAATATTACTTTCTGCTTTGCAGAAACTCTGATAGGTATCAGCAAGAACACACTTAATCAGCATCAGAATATTGGTTCTTGACATCAGCGTCAGAAGTTGCTATCAGAATACCAGAATCAGAAGATCAACTCACGTGTATGCTGAAGCTTGATGAACAGAACTGCGCTCAACACTCTGATAAAGAAAACAACAATTCATCAGCAGTTAAGCAGAGTCAGAATGAGCCAAGCCAGAACATGCATTAAGTAAGCAACGGTACTGTGCATTGAAAGCAAATTATTACCAACGGCCTCATTCCAGACAAGATATGCTCAATAAGGAAAGTTTGTTATTAGCATTGAATCAAGAATATTGCTCCAACGATCAACAATCTCAGTGCTATATAAACAAGACTATGAAGATTGAATTGGCTAATGCTCTCCAACATTTTACACGCCTAAAAGCTAATCATAATCTTCCTTCTCTCAGTTTGCTAAATGCTACATATCTCCTTACTCAATCATTGTTTAGCAATCTAGTTTCATAAGCTTAATTTGTGTATACATCACAGTTGTGATACAGTTTTGTAGAAAACATTCACACACCTAGATTTATCTTCTTTGTAAGAAAGCGTTTCCTTGACAAACCGGGTTGTGGTTTGCATCAAGAAGGCTTTAGCAGTTGTTAAAGCAGTTTGTAATATTCAGTTGAATATAGTGGATTAAGACCTCGTTGGAGAGAGGCGAAATCACCTTGACGGGTGGACTGGAGTAGTTTGAGATCAAACGAACCAGGATAAAAATATCTTGTTCATTGCATTGATTTTCAGTTTTACAATTCAACCCCCCCCCCCTTCTTGTGTTTTTCACTTCTTCAATTGGCATCAGAGCGCCTGGTTCTGAGCTAAAACACTTAACCGTGTCAGTACAAGATCCAGCGTCAGAAAAACACAATGGCAGGAACTTATTCTCACACCAGCAATGACAACCATGAGGACAGAGACAGATTCAGCAGCAAACCTCCAGTCTTTAATGGAGAAAAATTTGATTACTGGAAAGACAGAATTGAAAGCTTCTTTCTGGCACATGATGCTGATCTGTGGGATATGGTGACAGATGGATACACGCACCCTGTGAATGCAAGCGGTCAGAAGATTGATAGAAAAACAATGTCTGACCAACAAAAGCGTGACTTCAAGAATCACCACAAGGCCAGAACCATCCTTCTCAGCGCCATCTCCTATACTGAATATGAAAAGATCTCCAACAGAGACACAACAAAGAACATTTTTGACTCACTCAGAATGACGCATGAGGGCAACGTTCAGGTCAAAGAAACTAAAGCTCTGGCGCTCATTCAGAAGTATGAGGCGTTCAAAATGGAAGAATCTGAATCCATTGAAACAATGTTCTCGAGATTCCAGATTCTGGTAGCTGGTCTCAAGGTTCTGGACAAAGGATACTCTAGTGCTGACCATGTCAAGAAAATCATCAGAAGTTTACCCAAGCAGTGGAGACCAATGGTTACAGCTCTGAAGCTAGCAAAAGATCTCAACAACATCACTCTGGAGGAACTTATCATCTCCCTCAGAAGTCATGAGATAGAGCTAGAAGCTGACGAGCCTCAGAAGCAAGGTAAGCCTTTAGCATTAAAATCTAACAAAAAATCTGAGTCTAAAGTTTTGCAGGCAGTTGAAGAAACATCTGATGGATCCTCATCAGAAGAAGACGAACTCTCCCTCCTCTCCAGAAGAGTAAATCAACTGTGGAAGCAGAGGCAAAGGAAGTTCAGGAATCCTAGAAGATCTGATCAGAACGAGTCCTCTTCCAGATACAGAAGGACAGATTCTTCCTCTGGATACAGAAGATCTGAAGGCTCCTCAAGTAGCAAAAAGCCAAACACCAAGGACATCATCTGCTATGAGTGCAATGAGCAAGGACACTACAAGAGTGACTGCCCAAAGCTTCAGAGGGAAAAGCCCAAAAAGAAGTTTGGAAGAGAAAAGAAGAAAAGTCTCATGGCTACATGGGATGACTCTGACTCGTCTGAAGCTGACTCAGAATCAGATGATGAGAGGGCAAACATAGCTCTCATGGCTAACATTTCAGAAGATAGTGAAGCTTCTGAATCAGACTCAGAATCAGATACTGAAGAGGTATTTCCTAACTTTGCTGTTAATTTTACCAAGGCTGAACTTGTTGAAAGCCTTAATGAAATTCTGGAAAGGTATAAGCAAATTAGAGTTAAATTCAGAGACCTGAAAAGGAATCTTGAATCTGACTCTAATAAGACTGAGAGTCTCAAATTGGAGAATTCTGAGCTGAGAAATAAGATTTCAAAATTAGAAAACACTTTACAAAACTCTCAGAAGGAACCAATTTCTGAAACTCCCAGCAACGCTGATGAGATCATCAAGGAGTATGATCATAATTTCCAGAAGTTCCTTGCTAAAAGCATAGATAGAAGCAAAATGGCTTCAATGATCTATGGAGTTAGCAGAAACGGAAGGAAGGGAATAAGATACCAAGGAAAGGTTCCTACACCTAAGAATGTCATGGATTTAACCATTAAACACACTCCTCTGAATTCACATTTTGTGTATGGTCACACACATGATATTAAATACACTAGCAGTAAGTACTCTGTGAAACCAAAATTCAACCAGAGTTTTGGTAAAACTAACAAATCAGGACCCAAGAAAATCTGGGTACCTAAGGATAAAATAATACATGTTGCAGATATCTTTAGCAGCAAGTCAGAAACACCAGTCATGGTACCTGGACTCTGGCTGCTCGCGACACATGACGGGAAGAAGGCATATGTTCCAAAGCCTGGAACATAAGCCTGGAGGCCATGTTGGCTTTGGAGGCAATCAGAGGGGAAAGATAATTGGCTCTGGAACTGTAGGTAATGGAAATCTTCCCTCTATTAATAATGTTCTGCTAGTAGATGGATTAATGCATAATCTGTTATCCATAAGTCAATTAAGTGATAACGGTTATGATATAATCTTTAATCAAAAATCATGTAAAGCTGTTAGTCAGAAAGATGGGACTATCCTGTTTAATGGTAAGAGGAAAAACAACATTTACAAAATCAAACTTTCTGAACTAAAAAGTCAGAATGTAAAGTGCCTTCTGTCTGTCAACAACGAGCAATGGATCTGGCACAGAAGATTGGGGCATGTTAGTATGAGAAGAATATCTCAGATTAACAAACTCAATCTGGTCATAGGACTTCCTAATTTGAAGTTCAATTCAGATGCTCTGTGTGAAGCATGTCAGAAAGGCAAGTTTGCAAAACCTTCTTTTAAATCTAAAAATGTTGTTTCTACCTCTAAGCCATTAGAACTTCTGCACATTGACTTATTTGGACCAGTTAAAACTGCTTCAGTCAGTGGCAAGAAGTATGGGTTAGTAATCGTAGATGACTATAGCAGATGGACATGGATAAAGTTCTTAAGACACAAGGACGAGTCGCACTCTGTGTTTGTTACCTTCTGTAACCAAGTTCAGAATGAAAAGGATCTTAGAATCGTTAAAGTCAGAAGTGATCATGGTGGAGAATTTGAAAACAAAGATTTTGAGTCATTCTTTAATGACAGAGGCATTCTGCATGATTTCTCTTGTCCTAGAACTCCCCAACAAAATGGAGTTGTAGAACGAAAGAACAGAACATTACAAGAAATGGCCAGAACCATGATCAATGAGACAAACGTTGCTAAGATCTTCTGGGCAGAGGCAATAAACACAGCGTGCTACATTCAGAATAGAATCTCAATAAGACCTATTCTGGAAAAGACTCCATATGAATTGTGGAAGAACAGAAAGCCCAACATTTCATATTTTCATCCATTTGGATGTACCTGTTTTATGTTAAATACAAAGAATTATTTGAACAAGTTTGACTCTAAAGCACAGAAGTGTATTATGTTAGGATACTCTGAACGCTCAAGAGGGTACAGAGTATACAATACAGAAACACAGATTGTGGAAGAATCAATCAGTGTTCGTTTTGATGATAAGCTTGACTCTGAAAAGTCAAAGCATAATGAAGTTTTTGCAGGTATGGAAATTGAATTTACAGGTTCTGAATACAAATCATCAGAAGCTCTCAACACAGACACTCCTTCAACGTCTGAA